GGGGGGGGGGGGGGGGGGGCGCAACATCTCCCCGCGCCCCGGGAGCCCTCCAAGCCCCAGTTCTCCCCACGCTGGGCCCAGCTTTCCCAGGTCTCCCCACGCTGCCGGGAGCTGAGGGCCTCGCGGCAGCAGAGCCAACACGGGGCAGGCGGGTGCAGGGGCAGAGCTGGCGGGTCCTTCGCACACAAAGAGCTGCCACCAGGCCCGTGGTACAAGCGGCTTTTGCGTTTTGGGTGATATCTGCAGCAAAGGCCACGCGGCCGGGTGTGGGGCAGGGTCGCGGGCGGGTCCGCCTGGACGCACATGGGTTCGGCCACTGACTGTTCAGGGCCCCACACACGGCCACACGTGGACACCCAAACTGGGGATGTGGTCACACCTCAGCTCACGCTCGCTCACGCACGCACACACCCGGACACACTCCCAGGGCGGTCTACCCACTTCATGAAGGGAACACGCACACACACACATGCCCTGGTATGGTCACATCACAAGGTAACACGACAGACACGTGCCTGTGTACGAGTCTCCACTGACATGGTGACAGGCACATCTCAACAACCACACACTTACCTGTGTGGAGATTTTGTACAATAAAATACAGGCGCACACACACGCACACACACACACATACGCACACGCACACTGGACATCCCCATGGCCTTCAGACGCTTCAGCCCGCACACATGCTGACATGGGCCAGTACAAACACACTCACACCTCAGATTCTCCTCAGTGCATTCACAGGTGACCTTCAGGTCACACCCTTGGGACCGGCACTCCCTGGCCCTGGATGTCCTGAGACTCTCGGGATAAGAACTGAGCACGATGACTGAGGGCCTGGGTTACAGATAGGGGATGGGGAGCAGGGCCTCAGCCTCCCCGCCCCCCACCCCTAGGGGGCCTGGCGGCCCACTCTTGCTCCTGTGGCCCCCTCAGGACTGATGCTCCCTCCACCAGCCCAGGCCCTGGCATCAGCCTCTCTTCTTTTTCTCCCTCCTTCCCTCCACTTTTCCCACACCTCCTCCCCGCAGTCGGGGGTCTTCCTCCTTGCATTGTCCCCTTCCAGGTCCCCAGCACTACACAGTGGCCTCAATGCCCTCAGCCGCTATCTGGCCCTCTCCCTGGGCTTCCTCAGAAACAGCCTGCATGAGCCCTTCTGCGCTTGAAACTCTCCAGTTGGTCCTGTTGAATCTCAGGAGTTCCCAGCTCGTACCCTAGTGCCCCTAATCCCTCGCTCTGGACAGAGGAGCAAATTCCTTTGCCCTTCCTTTGTCTATTCAGGATTTAGGGCCTGCAAGGTCTTGCCCACCCCAGCCCCCAGCAACCCCTCCAGGCTTACCTCTCACCTCACCCCGCCCACCACAGGGCTCCTGCCCCCCACCCCCATATACTGGCAGCCCCTGGTGGCTCAGCAGTTCTAAACGTCCCCCTGTACGCCTTTGCCCATGCTGTCCCCTCTGCTGTGGTGTGGGTGAGGCTGATTCCCCCACAACCTTTTACTACCTGACCAACCCCTATTTGTTCTTCTAGACCCAGTGCCACCATCACCTCCTCCCTGACCTCCCCACATCCCTGAGATGCTTCCCAGGGGCTGCCTCCTGTCAAGGCCAGGGCCAGGGCAGGTCAGAGGGAGATCGGGCATGAACTTGGGGGAAGGGCTGACGTTTCGGCAGCCCAGGGCCAGCCCTGGAGAGGCCTACGATCTCTTCCGGGCTCAGAATTCTGGAAGTGTACATGAGGGCCTGGCACAGGGCACAGTAGGGTCTGGTCACCTCCTGCCCGGTGACCAGCAGGATGCTGCCCTCCTTGCCGTGTTGGATCTGGCGGTAGATGTGGTCGAATACCAGCAGCTCGCTCCAGCAGTTCTGTAGCAGGGTCATCTGGTCGGCCACCTGGAGGGAAGAGGCATATGCCGGTGCGGGGTCCAGCCAGGGGCCTTCCCCTCACCCCTCCCTCTTCCAACTCATAATTCAGGGGCTCCCTTGGGTATGTGACCTGGGCAAGCTACTTAACCTGTCTGTGCCCTTTTTGCCTAGCTGCCTGCTTCATCAAAGTGTGGCAAGGTTCTAGCAAAACAAACCAAAACCAAGGTTCAATGGGGGTGCTTAGAGCTCACATAGGCCGGGCTTCAGGCCCCAGCTCTGCTTCTACAAGTTGCATGACCTTAAGCAAATTCTATAGCCTTCTGAGCCTCTGTTTTCTCATCTGTAAAGTGGGCACAGTATTAGAAGGTGGTTCGGCACATGTTAGGTACTCAGTAAGTATTGGTGAATGATGTTCATGAAAGTAATTTGTGAAGACGTCCTTCAAATGCGAGGGGAGATGATTAATTTCAACCTTGTGCCCATTTGGCCTGTGGTCGCATCTCTGGCAGCCTCAGTAGCTCAAAAAACAAGCCCTGAAGAGGAAACAGAGGGCTTCCCTGGGCCTTATCCACAACTTTCAGGCTTGTGAGAAGGGAGCGCCCTTCTGGCCCAAGATCTGGCCTGGAATGAGCAGGTGGCTGGCAATGGTCCATCTGAAGCAGGAACAGAAATACAAGGAGGGCAGATTCTGAACACCCAGGCTGTAGTCGGGCACCCAGCGAGAGGGCAGAGACTACCTCTGTGTGGGGTGTCCTTCCACCCTGGAGGGTCACTACATTCTAGCCTGGCAAGAAAGGACACTCGTGACAATGGCAAATGGGACTCGGAACCATTGGATGCCAGAGCCAGACGGGCCCTCGGGGATCCCCAGGCCAAAACCCATATTTTTTCAGATGAGAATCTACCACTTGGAGAAGGCGAGGGACTCTCCTGGGAGAGAGATAGAGCCAGGCCAGAGACATAGCTGGCCTTCTCAGTCCACGACCCTCTACGGTGACAAAATACTGAGCTCTCCTGGGTGTCCAGACCTGCACGGGGCACTGCACGCCACCCTCGGAAGACACAGTACAGACTCCGGTGCCCCTCAGCATCTGCAGCTCATTAGCCCACCACCAGCTACCTGGCAGGTGCTTCCCGGGTACCCTACCGGGCCCTGCCCTGTGATGAATGCAGACCGTGATAGCTATTAGTCTTTGCACTGCACCTCCACGAAGCTAGGGTGGTATAGCTGTTATCCCCAATCTATGGAGAAAGGACACCCAGAGAGGTCAAGAAACTCACCCAAGGTCACACTGCTCTGTCTGGCTCTAGATCTGTGCCCTAAACCACAAGGTATGGAAGAAGACTCACCCTGGCCACCCAGGAGTTCATGGCACTCTTGTTACCTCCCCCGTAAAGCTCTCCCCAATCCTGTCCTCTGGATGTCACAACATTTTTTTTTTAAATTTTTTTTTCAACATTTTTTATTTATTTTTGGGACAGAGAGAGACAGAGCATGAACGGGGGAGGGGCAGAGAGAGAGGGAGACACAGAATCGGAAACAGGCTCCAGGCTCTGAGCCATCAGCCCAGAGCCTGACGCGGGGCTCGAACTCACGGACTGCGAGATCGTGACCTGGCTGAAGTCGGACGCTTAACCGACTGCGCCACCCAGGCGCCCCGAGGATGCCACAACATGTGATGGCACCAATTCATACCTCTGTCTTCCCCAATACCTGTGGGGTCTGGGAAGGCATGGCAGGTGTCCAGCTCATCTCTGGGCTCCCGGAGGACGGGTCGGTGAGCAGTTGATGCACAGATATGTGCTCCCAAGACAGGTACAGAGAGCACAGAGAAACAGCCCCCAACTTGGGGACCAGAGAGACCCAGGCCACCCCTGGCCTGAGGAGAACTGGCAATGCCTAATGAATAACTCTCTCTTCTGAGGGGTAGAAGCCTCCTTCTGCGACCCTCTGTCCCCGCCCCCTCCTGGGGGCAGCCTGGGGCCTGTCCTCAGGCCGAGGGCAAGAACAAGTGCAGGAAGAGTGGGGGAGCAGCTGGACACACAATCAGGCTCCCTTCGGCCTCACCTGCCTGACCCCACGTGCTAAGAACGAGAGGGAGGGCCTATCTCTGTCCTGCCCTGAGTCACCAGCCCCCCACCTTCCCTTGCTCACTTCATCTCTGTGTCAAGAACCCACACACCTGTCCCTTCCTCCCCTGGCAGGAAGTGCTTTCTAGACCCCCAGTACCATCAGAGCGAGGAGCCCAGCAGGGGGCCCCAGATCTCAGCCACCCCTGGCCCTGAACTGGAGGGGCCAGAAGAGATTGAGACTCAGGCAGGGCTGAATCACAGAGACATCTCTCCTATCTCTCCTCAAGAAATGGCCAATCCCTGGAGAACCACTGGCAGGAGTGGTTCCCCACTAGTTTTAAAGGAGGGAGGCAAGCCTCGGTGAGCACCTGTGGCCAGGCCCATTCCCAGCACACCCTGGACTCCTCACCTCTGTCCTATCACCATTCTGTCATGTTATAGATAAGGAGACAGTGGCTTGCCTAAAGGAACCACAGGGATCTGGGCTCTGTTCAGATGCTCCTGACTGGGCTGGTCTTCTGGAGGTCCCCAGGAGGTCCTAAGGCCCAAGCAGAAGGTACCTGCCAG